GTCACATCTAAACTGTCAAACATGTGGCGCCCCCATAAACAAGTCCCAGTCGTGTTTAAACAGCTCACATAATAAACCATTCACATCGGAATCAAGAGGAACGAGACTCCCTTTCTCCTCGGTTCAGCTGTTTCTTTGACACCGCTCTAATCTGCATTCCTGCAGACGAGATCTTCCAGGGAGTTAAAAGAGTTTTTCACATTTCTGAGTGGCATGCCAACCTGAAGTCATCAGAGAAAGCAGCTGAGCAGGCATGAGAGAGCAGCAGGAGGGATTTCAGATGAGCTTCACAGCAGTGCAGCTCAAGGGGGGGGGGGGGGGGGCAATGTGGATTGTTAGAGATGACACACACACACACACTCCCTGCATCTGGAATTGGAGTTAGAGCCCTCAGGGCAGCGTTATGGAGCCCCTTGTAAAGACAAAGATATATTGGGGGTCTTTCATCCCTGGAACTCTGACCCCTCTCAGAGGACGTGAAGCAACCAGAAACAACCCCCCCCCCCCTTTGACTGCTCCACCGTCATCCGGGTCCCAGAGAAACTCTCCATCACTGCCATGAAATCCTTTGAAGGCCCGTTTAAAGGACGGTACCGGACCCGCTGGACCTCCTGGTGTTTGTGCAGGTCGGTCGGGGAAGTCTTTGAGTTTTGGACTTATGGAGGTTCCAGGGTTTGTTTTTTTTGGAGTGTAAGCCCCGACCTAAATGTGCAGAGTGACAGAAAAGATGCACTAAACTCCGGCAAAAGCAGCTCTCAAAGACAGCGGGGTTTCTTCGTATGAGTCAAGGCAGAGCGTTGAGTCATTTTAGGAGACGAGCGCTCTGAACAGAAAAGGAGAACTTGTGGGAAATGTGAGGCTCGGCGGCACCTAACCGTCAATGACTTCTGGTTACATCTGGCAGTGAGAGACAGGCGAGCTGGTCTGAACCAGAAGAGACGAGTTTCCCTCTGGAAATGTTCACAAGACGAGCGTGACATCTCTGGTTTTTTCCATAGGAAGTAAATCCTGTTTCAGATGAGAGGCCGTCCACTCAAAGTACCCGACTGCCCCAAAAATAGGCCTCGCTACAATCAGCTGAACTGACTTAATGATACTTCCTCTGAAACATTTATGACCTCGCGGGCCCAGAGATAAAACCACAAAGTATTTTTTAAATAGTTAAACGTCGGCGCTCATTTGGTTTATGTTGTTTTTTCTTCTCTGTGTTATTCAGCAGCGTGGAGATTGAGCAGAAATAGATGTGAAGACGATATTTACTGGTGTGAAAACACTCCCTTTGGGGATACATAGTGTGACATGTTTGCGCTCAAAACATTTCTTCGTCAGGGACACAGGAACTCAGACCAGTCCGTGTCGAGCTTATAAATGCAAGTCTAATATTTGCTCTCCTTTTAGCCGGGCTTCCCTCCCGACCGGCTCCTGAGTGAACCATCTGGTTCATAAGCAGCTCCACCATCACCGGCTAACAGAGGGCTTTATTTACCTACACACCTGCCTGCTGCTCCCGGAGAACAAACCCATGACAGTGGAGTTTAATTCAACCATTAAAAACACTATTTAAAACCCACAGAGGCGGGTTACTGTTCTGCGGATAGCCAGCGACCTTTATCAGTGGAGTCCATCATTCCACAAAGCGAAAAATGATTCACAGGAGGAAAACAATCACTAACACTTAAGCGCTAAATCTCAGATTCTACACAGCTAAATTAGTTCAAGGTTAAAGGTCATGACTGGACACTCAGAGATAGTGTGGCTTGTTTGTCTGGGCTGCAGGAGAAAAAAGTATTTTCTCTGAAAAAGAACAGCAGGGCTCAGTTTTCTGAACAGCAGGGCTCAGTGGAGATGTTTGCACAGAATGCACAGAAACCAAACACAGACTGCTCAGAGCAGCTGTCGGCACGGTGGGGGAGGGATGATGAGCTGGGCTGCTTCTGCAGCATCAGGACCTTAAAGTCCACCACGAATCCCCAAAGTGTTCAGAGTCAGATGTGAGGCCCTCAGATAAAGCTGAAACCGGCTCATCAGCTGAACAAACCAAAGCTGCAAACCTCAAAGAGCTGAAGAACCACAGAGAGAGCAGAGGGACAAAACTCTTCCACAGGGTAATGTGTTGGTTTTTATCCGAGGTTTCGTTTACTTCATTTTAAGAGCTGATGAAGACAAGCTGTTGTTTTGTTTGTACTGTGGCCTAAAAACTTCTTTCAAAGCCAAACAGACATTTTAATCTTCATCTCACCGGGTTTTGTCTCCCCACTGCGCTGTCAAACGTAGAGCAAAAAGGTGGACTAATTCATTGGCTGTGCAGATTAGTCGGCCCCACCGGTTCCTGTTGTAATATCATATCACGTAAAACGTCACCACTCACCGTACTGAGAGGGTAAAGTCTCCTGGATTACTTTTACTGGGTCTGGCTAAGAAGCTCCCATCCACTCCTCGAGTCAGCAGGAGGTTTTCGGCCTCCACACCTGTGATGTTGGGGTGAAACCACCTGAGGGACGCGTTAAACTGTTATAACATTTTTATTACAACACTGACAGCTGCAGACAGGAACATTATCTTGTTTTAAAAATTCAGAAATCTGTTGGGAGGACTTAAACTTTTAACATTTCAGAGCAGATACAACACAACCAGCGAAAGCAACAAAGTCCAGGAACAATGATGAGCTCAAATTAGCATCCAATATCAGAACAATATATCTACTAAGGACAGATTTTTCCCTTTCAGAACAGTTCCCAGAGAAAGCCAGACTGTCCTTATCTCCAGCTTTATATCAGATCATCTGCACAACATCTTCTTTTTAACCCATGGCCTTTGACTTTTCACATTACAAATACATAAATGGTGCTTCAGTGGGTTTTAACCAAACCTATGGCGTTTCCGTTCATTTGTCATTTCGAAGTTCAAGCTTTTTGCTTTTTGCTGTCAGGCCAGACAAAAACACCATCAGTGCGAGTGATGTGTCCAAAGAAATAGGGCTAGTCGCATTTTGGTAAGCTCAACACGAATTTTGCCCACTTTTTAAGTTACAGGCCGTTTCAGACAGTTAGTTAAATCCAACCAAAAGCTTTGACTGTATCGTTAAGGTACTGGACATGTTCGTGGTGGCTTGTAAATACCGGTGAAGAGCTAAGTGAGGAGCTCCTTAGCTAGCCGTTTCTCTGCCGTTTGCTTCCAGAAACGTCGGTGCACTCAGAGCTTGTTTACGGACATACCGAGGTCCAAACAGCTGAGTTCAGCTAAACTTAGCTCGCTCGGCTAGCATTGTCACCAGACATTGTTTTCCAGACAGTCCCTTACCTCCGAGATGTCATTTTTTTTCCTTCTTCACTTCCTCGCTGGCAGTTAGCAGTAGCCTCAACTCTCTGGCAACCGTTTCCAACCGTCTCCACTTCGATCAGCCAATAAAGTGCTTCATCGGTTAATACCCGGTCTAAACGGGCATTGAAAACTAGTTAGGCATCCGCGGAAATTTTCAGTAACGTCCGCTGTAAAAAAAACAAAAAAGTCTCTAGGCCTCGGCCCCGGAGACTTCACAGCCAGTCGACTATTGGACGTCACCAAGCATGCGACAAAAACAAGGCGGGGGTGGATTTAATCACCGCGAGCGGCCGCCTTTTGGTGCAACTGTCGGCCACCCTGAAGTTCAAGCAGCCTCTGAACAGTCCCCGCCCAAGCTCAGCCCATCCGGCAAAAGGCGTCATATAAATTAGAGTCCAATCGCCCTCTCCCTGCGCATGCCCAGTAGAGACACAGAAGCGGAAAGCGGCGCGCAAACCCTCAAGATAGTTTCAGAAAAACAACTATTTAAGAGAATTCAAACTTAACTAAATTTAATAACAGTCCTGTATTCTGATCTTATTACAACATTTTCCTTTCACGTATTTTTTTGTAAGTTAAAGTGAAGTGGCTGTCTTCTTTGCTAAAGGACCGGTTAATTGAGTTTGAGTTAATTGATTAATTGATTGAAGATAATTTGATTTAATTTCTCTTTTCTGGTGGGAGCTTTCCATGGTATGCTTTCGTTTAATTTTAATCTGACCAAAACGACAAAACAAGGATATTTTTTTCTAACATAATGACCAGACATTTTGAATGCACTGCAACTAATCAAAGACATGAGCTAATTGTCTAGGCAGAAAGTGTTTTTGGAATTAAAGTTTAAAAGTGGAAATATACACAAATCGGGAATGTGTTCATTTATAAGAAAACATTTGCAAAATCTGAGGATGTCAGCCTAACTATCTTAACTGATATCATGTCACTGGCTCACTAAGTGAAAAATCAATCCGTTTATTATTTACTATGTACTAAAAAATATAGAAATAGATTGCATTCAATTAAGTATATATTTTAATGTAATGACTTAACTCTGATTATTTGTACCTCTTTCTCTTGTTTGTTGCAGCGATTTGAGGTGAGACAGCTTTGCTTTCACTAACTTTGGCCCTCGGAGGCTGCCGTCAAATAAGCCTGTACGTGGCAGTCATACAGCAACACAGAGCAGCGGAGGCTGGTGCGGCTCCTCTTCAGCAGCGGTTCTCTAACACACGCCGACATCCTGCTTGTTATTCTGAAGAGAGGACAGTCTAAAGTTTTACGCCCCCCCTCTCATCGCTTGAAACATGTTTACATCGTCGGAGCTGGTCGTTTTACTGGCCGTCCTGACTGCCACTGCGTCCGGCTACTTCGTTAGCATAGACGCCCATGCCGAAGAGTGCTTTTACGAGCGGGTCAACTCCGGCACTAAGATGGGCCTCATGTTTGAGGTGGCGGAAGGTGGCTTCCTGGACATCGACGTTGAGGTAAAGTGTTTTTACCCAGACAACAGCACACGCCGTTTGAGACAGGAAGCTTGACATTTTACCACAAACTGATGTGAAGGGGCTAAAGGCCTGCGCTAATGCTAGCTGTTAGCTTTTAGCAACTTGTCGGCGGAACGTCACCTTATGCTAGTTAGCAACTATTTACGGCATTTAACTTGCTTATGGGCTCAAATCCTCGCAATTGTTTCAAATGATCACTGTTGGTGGATATTGTTTTGTTGGTTCAAGATGTTTAATGCTTATGTTTGGAGTGTAAGCGCTGATGCAGGAAGTGCAGCGTTAGCATTGTATCAGGCTAAACAGCAAGTATTTTAGACTGTCTAATATCTTTTAACAATCAGCCCCTTGTAAATGTATGGAAGCTTAAGTTTTTTTTAGTCAACGTTCCAAGTACATATTTAATGATTAAATACACAAATGGAGTGTATGTGAGCCCCGCTGTTGCTGCCATATGTTGACGTTTTAATCATCATCCTAAAGTCTGCAGTTTTCATTCAAATAATCCAAAATGAATCGGGTTTTTTTGTTTGTATTTGCCTCCAAGGCACTAAGCCCTTTAACAGAACAGTATTTGTTTAACAAAATCAAATGTTCAAATAACTAAACTTTAAACTGATAAGCAAACATATGGGACACAAAAACACCAGTAACTAAAGAATATAATGCCTGTAACTCCAACAAGACTGGATTTTCTTTTGAAAACAAAAGATATCCATTGCAGAGCCGGGATGTTTTATTTTGTTGTTTAACCATATTCATTGTGTTTATTCCAAGAGACGCACCTTGTCAATATAAGAAATTAACAGCTTTTCAGTAAGAATATGGTTGCTGAAAACATCCACCAGATCACCATTTTTCTGGGTGTCAATCTACAAACATCAGTGCATTAAAATAATTTCAGACTCAAAAGCTTTTCTACAAGTTTGCTGCAAAAAAGATTTGACAGGTTACTTGGAGAAAATCTCTGTACCTTCACCTTAATCTCAGATGTTAACGGGTTGTTTTGACCCACTGTCAGATTGGCTTTAATCAGTGTGTGTGCAGAAATGTTTTGAATTAAACAGAGAGCAGATGTGTGCTTTAGTCAGTTTGGTTTCTCTCCTCAGATAACAGGGCCTGATGGAAAGCAGATTTACAAAGGGGACCGGGAGTCCAGTGGGAAGTATTCGGTGGCTGCTCACATGGATGGAACCTACAAGTTCTGCTTCAGCAACAAGATGTCGACCATGACACCCAAGATTGTCATGTTCACCATCGATATCGGAGAGGCGCCCAAAGGCCAAGACATGGAGACGGAAGGTACACAGAGAGGCTGTCTGAGAACACATTTTTAACTCTTGCTGATGGGTTTTGTTTCTCTGTTCCTCGTTTTTAATGTCCTGTGGTCATTTTTCCCCCCTTTTGACTTTGTTTTGGGTACTTTGTCCCTGCTTTTAGGTGGCGACAGCTGGGATGGTAGGAAACAGGGCAGGCTGTGATAAAACTGCCAACACTTGAGTTTGTGATGCACCGTGTTAGTTTTCCCTAACCAGAGTTGCTTCCTTAGTGAAATTATAATAATTACTAATGTTTGCCGGTTTGGTAGACGAGCGAATGGTTTGACTGTTGGCACAGTGAGACGTTGAAATGCTATTGGTCACATGTGTGAAGAGGCATGTTTGTGCACCTTCGCCGTGCCCCGGCTCATCAGTAAAGAGTTCCCCTCTGCCCATTTCAGCCCATCAAAACAAGCTGGAGGAGATGATCAACGAGCTGGCTGTTGCCATGACGGCGGTGAAGCACGAGCAGGAGTACATGGAGGTCCGGGAGCGGATACACCGAGCCAGTAAGAGCCCGCCGGTCGGTGTGTGAGCGACCCCCCCCCCCCACCCCCCTCTAACAGTCTCTCTGCTTCCTCCTCCAGTCAACGACAACACAAACAGCAGAGTGGTCCTGTGGTCCTTCTTTGAGGCCCTGGTTCTGGTGGCCATGACGCTCGGACAAATTTACTACCTGAAGAGATTTTTCGAAGTGCGGCGAGTGGTGTAGAGCGAGCTACTGATCCCTGGGTGTCCTCCACTGTTTTCTCCACCACCGAGACAGTTCTTTACACTCTGGAAGTGAGACTGGGAGTTTCGAGTAAAGCCTACACACGATTGGATCTCAGATGTTTCGTTCTCCCCCTTACCTGTTTGGTTCCCTCTTTATAAATGTATGTTTGGAACGGACAGCCAAAAGATTCTGCTATTGATGTCAGTCTTTAGTTCTTTGTTTGTTTTGTTGTTTTACAGATTTTTATCGTCCAAATTTGTTTGATAATTCTAGTTAAGTACCAGTTACTTGCCCGTGCAAATGACTGCGAGGCTCTTAATTTTCGGTAATTGTAGTCACATGAGAAGGACTTGAAAATGCACACGTGTGAAGAGCAGCAGGGGAGTGGCCACAAAGCAGCGTTGCTCTCTTTAATGTTTAAAACGGAACCGTTTTCCAATTAAAACGTGCAGCTCATCTTCTGAGAGGCGGAGGGTTGTGTTCATGTGTCAAAGCCACTGCCCATTGTGTCAGTACTCTCAACAACAAAAAAAAACCTAAACAAATTGCACTCCTGAAGCGTCTGAACGTGTGACTTGTTCATATTGCAGCTGGTGTTTTAAGGGAAACTGATCGGCTTCTGTCTCTGTCCGACGGACTGCTGGGGTGTTGGCCTTCCCGTCTGTCCGGGGAGATGGTGCACTGCGTTCTATTTAACCGGTGGTCGAATAAAATGGAAATCATCCCTGAAAAATTTCTCTCTAATTTTGCTCTTCAAACTCAATTTAAAAGCTCTCTCGAACATCTGGAGGAGCTGAGGAAGGGTTTTTATCAAACCTGAAGATGTGGGGGCGCCGCTCCACAGAGAGGGGTAGGAAAACTAAGAAGTATTTTTTATTGGGGGGGGGGGGGGGGGTCTCGCATACGACTGCTGTGTGCTTAGTTGCTTCTTTACTATAATCATTTTGTCAAGGTTGGGGATTTTAAATTATACGATTGTACACAGCTTTGGGTTTGTTTGTTTTTTTTTGGAGCATGTCTAGTGATGTGCAGCTGTCTGAACGATGGCTTTTGTAAAAACGAGCGAGTGGCTTCACATCCAGCGCACAGCTGCGGCTCTCCGAGAGTTGCACGTCACCAAATACGCCCCAGTTTTGTATTGAAACAGTTTTCGGTGAGCCTCAGGCAGGAAACCTGCTCTGTGCACAGTCTCCCCCCTTTTTTTTTTTGTGATCGCAACAGAAATCTGCTCAATGGGTCTGTACAAATGTAGAATGGTTGTCTGGAACGTGTCCCAGGTTTCATAATAAAGCCCACATAATGTACAAATACTCTGGTGTGTCTTTAAACATGCAGTTTCAGTTCATCCATCAAGGGGAGAAAACAAAAGGCTAAAACTTGTCAATGCTGCTGGCGTTGTTTAGAATTGCACCACAGTAATACCTGAGACTGAGGGACTGTGTTTGTACACATCAGACACTTGAAATAATTTCTTCATGAGTTTTCCTTCAAGCAGCCAAACCATTTACATTTAAAGTTACCTTGAGGAGCAGTACTCATTTTGACTTTTTTTTTTAGTTTATTAAGCCTCTCAACGTTAGCCTATTAATTATTTGGACAGAAAAAAGGCCCCTAACTCAAGGGATGATCCAGTTTTGTGTCTACACAGAACAGATGACTCAGCTGTTTAGATTGGATTCTTACCAGCAGACTCCCAAAAGACATAGAATTTGCTTTAATTTCTTTAGTTGATGTATGAAAAATGCAAAACCTAGCAGTTTCACAGACATGTAAATGAAACAAGCCTTAAATTGATAGTTCAATATCATACTGATGTAGTCTTAATTTGTATGACAACCTGTGATAAATTAGACTATGACTACAAGCTTTACTGCACCAAAGCGATATAAAAGGACTTGAAAAAACATCTAAATTTGTCATCATTGATAATAAATACACTTTTTTTTAGAGGAAAGGTACAGCACGTCATAGTGGTCACTCGGAACCAAACATTTTCACCACTTCGGTTCCCACCCGGCATGTAAACATCAGCGCACCGGAAGCGTAGACAGCGTGCAGCCGTTAGCCGAATGCTGCCGTGTTCATCCTCAGATGGTTTTTGAGGTTTATGTCCAACATGGAAAACACGACAGAGGGGACGTGGGACACTTTACCGGTGAAACTCAACGAGAGGATTTTACAGACGCTCGATGAGATGAAATTCACTCACATGACACCTGTACAGGTAACTTTACAACTTTAAGTCGGCCCCTTGGCAATATGAATTTCTAATAACATCTGATTAAAGCTGTTTCTCTGGCCCTCTCTTTTCCAGTCCGCTTGTATTCCGCTGTTCATGAGTAACAAAGATGTGGCTGCTGAGGCGGTGAGTGTTTTCCGTGAACTGTTTTTGCAAAAGTGTTTTTTTCTCTGTCAAACTGTGTCATATCTGGCGTTTTTTTACATATAAATAAAGAAATGATAACAAATGATGTGTCTTTGTTCGAATCAACCCAATTTAAAACAGTTGGTGTGATCAATTATTTGTGATCAGTGGACAGCTTCACCCCTTGAGTTTGGAGCCCTTTTTCTTAGTTTCATGGTTTAAGTTTCACTGTTAGAAGATGTAAGAAACAAAAGGGCTGGACTGAAAATGAATAGCAAAAGTTAATGACCAAAGAAAAACTTTGGAAGATATCCAGAAGGCCTAGAGAAGAAGGCTTTTAGGACATCAGAATTCAGCCTTCTGCGTGTGTGTAGGTGACCGGCAGCGGGAAGACTCTGGCTTTCGTCATTCCTGTTATAGAGCTGCTTCTGAAACGAGAGGAGAAACTAAGGAAGATGCAGGTGAGGATTGAACCAGGCCGGGGCGGCCGGTTATTCCCGCTTTCAGACATTTGTGGGCACGCTTTTTGCTCCCAGCTGACGGTGCTCTCTGCAGGTTGGCGCTCTGGTCGTGACCCCCACCCGAGAGCTGGCCCTGCAGATCAGCGAGGTGATGGGGACTTTTCTGGAGAAGTTTCCACAGTTCACGTGAGTAGAAGACTATCTTAGGACATTTTTTTAAGTGTAAATGGTTTTCAATCCTTGGAGAGGAGCGGAAAAAATCACACTATTTATTTTGCTGCCTTTCGTTTCCCAGCCAGATTCTTCTGATCGGTGGCAGTAACCCAGCGGAAGACGTGGAGAAGTTCAAGGATAAAGGGTGTGTAATGGCCAATGTCCAATCTGGATTTGTTCCCATGGAGATGAATTCAGTTCATTGTAGTCCAGCAGTGCTTTAAAACCCCATAAAAAAGCCTTCCTGACCATCATGCTGTGTCCCTTTTCTTTTGAAAGAAGGACACAGTGTTTTTCAAACAGTGGACGTGGGGAAAAAGATGAAAGGCATGTGTGTGTGTTTCAGGGCCAACATTGTGATTGCGACGCCGGGCCGCCTGGAGGACATGTTCCGGAGGAAGGAGGAGGGCCTGGACCTGTCCAGCGCGGTCCGGAGTCTGGAGGTCCTGGTCCTGGACGAGGCCGACCGGCTGCTGGACATGGGCTTCGAGGCCAGGTGCCAAACGTCTTTATGTCAAATAGACACTTTTAGCTTTAAATGAAGAACTAAACACCTCCACAAAGACCCTGGAGGCATCTTTACCTGGAGAGGCTGCTGGAGAAAACCCAGAAAATCAGGACAGATCCAGCATGTCTCTGCCTTTTGTCTCCAGTCTGAACACCATCCTGAGCTACCTGCCCAAGCAGAGGCGCACCGGGCTGTTCTCGGCCACCCAGACCCAGGAGCTGGAGAAGCTGGTGAGGGCCGGCCTCAGGAACCCGGTGCGGATCGCCGTCAAAGAGAAAGGCCAGACGGAGGCCTCCGCCGCCACCCAGAAGACCCCCTCCAGGCTGTCCAACTACTACACAGTGAGTGGACCCGGAGCCGCCAGACGGACGGACGGACGCAGGGACACTGATCTCTTCCTGCTGTCGTTTCAGATGTGCAGGGCGGAGGACAAGTTCAACAACCTGGTGGCGTTTCTGAGGCAACACAAGCACGAGAAGAATCTGGTCTTCTTCAGGTACGTCCCCCGACAGGGAACCTGCCCACTGGTCATTCTCTAGCAGACGAGCCAGATTTAATAAATAAAAAAAAACACGAGGAGCTAAAACCTAAAAAAGATTAAAGGTACACGGTGTATTTTGTAATTTCTCCCATCTAACGGTGAAATTGTATTCTGCATTCTAACAAACCGTGCTATCTAGCGCCTTGCATTTTCAAATGGGTATTGCAGCTACATTTTCATGTTAGCTTGTTTTTGTTGTTTGTAGCTTGCCGTTACTAGCTTATATTGTAGCTAGCGCTAACAACTTGACGCACAACAAACAAACAAATGTTACTTTATGAATCCCAGACTGAAAAGCATAAACTATGCTAATTAGGAGAGAAATATTCTGTATGTTTATTTTTTGATAAACATGCACTTCTTATCGCTGGTCTGGACTTACCCGTCCTGTGTACATACAGATAGGAAATCCTTCACTTATGAGAAGTCAGATCATTGCAGAAGTAATTTTAAACCAAATGACACATTTATAAAAGAAGAAGTTATTTTAGCTAATAAAATACTTAAAATAGTCCACAATGTCCCTTTAAGACGACGACTTTACCTGAACAAGTTAGCAAATGGCTCGATCGGTAGGCAACGGCTTGATTTTTATCAAATTCACTGTAAGAGAAGTGGCTGTAAAGCTCCAGTCTGAGGAGTTTCTTGTCTGGGGGGGGGGTCAGCACCTGTGCCTGCGTGGAGTACTACGGCCGCGCTCTGGAGCTGCTGGTGAAGAAGGTCAGCGTGCGCTGCATTCACGGCAAGATGAAGAACAAGCGCAGCAGCATCTTCGCCGACTTCCGGAGCCTGAAGAGGTGAGCTGGCTCCGTGGGGTGGGGGGGGGGGGGGTTGGGGATGGGGGGTGATGGAGGCCTTTTCTCAGCCCCTGTGCCGCCTTCGCAGTGGGATCCTGGTGTGCACAGATGTGATGGCCCGAGGCATCGACATCCCAGATGTGAACTGGGTGCTGCAGTACGACCCCCCCAGCAGCGCCAGGTGCCTCTTCTGCTCCGTCTCCCGTTTGCTTAAAAATTCTATACTCTGTTCTTTAAAAGCCTAAACGTGTCTTTTTTTTCTCTTTACTCGCTTCTTTTAATCTTAAAAAAATATTTCTTAGCTCCTTTGTGCACCGATGTGGGCGAACCGCACGAATCGGTAACTATGGCAACGCCCTCGTCTTTCTGTTGCCGATGGAGGAATCTTACATCACCTTCTTATCCATCAACCAGAAAGTGAGTCCAAATAATCCCTTAAACCGGCCAGTCAATCACACGTCTTTCCTTATTTAAAAGGAAAGTTTTCAGTCTTTTTCAGTCAGAAAATCACAGATTCGCTTAGTTTTTATGATTAAAAAAGCCATTGAGTGTCATCCTGTAGGGAAATTTCTAGGAAATTATTATTTTTTTCTTCTGAAGAAATGGAAACTGTGACAGATTGTGCTGAGGTGACCCCTCTGCCCTCTGGACTTTGCAGTGCCCGCTCCAGAAGATGCCGCCTGTAAGCGACGTGGTGGACGTGCTGCCCAAAGTGAAGGCCATGGCCCTGGCTGACCGGGCCATGTACGACCGGGGCATGAGGGCCTTCGTCTCCTACGTCCAGGGCTACGCCAAGCACGAGTGCAGCCTCATCTTCAGGGTCAAAGGTGAGACCAAAACCAATCAAATAAAGAGGCCGTTCGTCTGTCCGCCCCTGAGGACACTCTCTGTGACCCCCCCCCCCCCCCCCCCCAGACCTGGACTTCGCCTCCCTGGCCCGGGGCTTCGCTCTGCTCCGCCTGCCCCGGATGCCGGAGCTGAAGGGCAAGGCGCTGGACGACTTCGAGGAGGCGCCGGTGGACACGGACACCATCCGCTACAAGGACAAGAACCGGGAGAAGCAGAGGCGCAAGCTGCTGGCCGAGCTCAGGGAGAGGCGCGAGACGGAGCCCCCCCGGAGGGGCCCCGTGAAGACCAAAGCCTGGTCCAAGCAGAAGGGCCGCAGGGAGCGGCGCAAGAAGGTGGCGGCCAAGAGGAAGAACCGGGAGGTAATTAACTCATTCGCCGCCAAAGACGTCTATAGACGTCTTTTATGTTTTTCAACAAGAGTGGCTGGGGGACGATCTGCTAAAGCTTGTCCGTAAATATCAGGCTTCTAGACAGAGTATGTAGTAACAAATTGACCCTCTAGGGGGCAGTGCCACTTTTGATGGGAGATGAGCATAGACTGTAGGCAAATAAGAAAAACGTAACGGTTCGATATGAGAGAACTTGTCGCCGTTGAGATGCAAGTCGAGGAAGAACGGAATAAGGTAGAAACTATTTTTTTTTTCCTGATGAAAGAAGAGAGTCTACTCTTTCTTTTGGTGTGTTCGGTGTTTACATAGTCATAGCACAAACTATTCTGTGGCTCTTGAAAAACCAGTCAAAATGCTCAAAAAACTCTGGCAGTGTGGGACTCTCTGTTCTGAAAATGGCTGGCAGTCAATGAGTTAAACATATCAGGAGCCCCCCCAGAAGGGCTTCCTCAGACCTGACTCTGAGGAATTGTCCCTGACTCTCTCGGTCTCCCCACAGGGCTCCGATGTGGACGAGGAAGACCTGACCGAGCTCCTAAACGACACCCGTCTCCTCAAGAGACTAAAGAAAGGACAGATCACCGAGCAGGACTTCGAGCAGCAGATCACACAGTCCAAACACAAACCAGACGGGTCGCCGAGTTCGCTCTGAGGGGGGTTTTATTATAAATAAAGCTTGATGAGCTCGTCGCTGACGGCCGACGGGGTCAGGACTCCCAGGTCTGTGAAGAGGAGGGTGATGAGGGAGGGGGGGGTGTAGTCGATCATGGGGTGCTCCTCCGACAGGCTCTGCGCCGACTTCAGGGTGTCTGCTTTGTACTGTGGAAGGGAGGGGGGGAGGGACTTGTTAGGGCCCTTTCAGATAAGCGACAGGAGGCGGGGCGGGGGGGGGCTCAAACCTTAAACTTGTCGGGGACGTCCTGCTGGTTGAGCGGGTACAGGCGCACGAACTTGAAGCTCTCGGCCACAACGTAGAAGGGCTTGTTGTGGGCTTTGGAGCACAGCGCCATCTGGTAGGTGCCGATCTGCGGAAGCACAAAGCCCACCGTGTTTAACCCCCCCACCCCACCCCCGTCAGACAGGAGAGAGGTGGAGATCCCTGCTTCAACCCGCCTCTGCGGCCACACAAAGTGCTGAATGCAGCCATTGTGATCAGAATCAGGTGGGTAGAAGCAGGGAAACATCTAAACCCGGCTGGACAGAGGCCCAAAGCGGACAGGACCTGTAAAAAAAACCTTTCCCACCTGGAAAACTCGATTTTTGGTCCATTTGAGTGCCCTATAGTGCCCTCTAGTGGAGCCCTCCAGTCACTGATTAACAAGACGACTATAAACCGAGAGCCTCATGAGCTATTTCTATTTTTTTTTTTAAATCAATAATGAAATCTGTCTGCTTGGAAATAAAATGCTTAAGAAATCAAATAAAGGCTGGATAAAGATTTGTACAGTTTATGGTGCAGCTTCAGCTCATTTGGTGACCCATCATCCGATTGTTTGAAGGCCAACACCTTGCAGAGGACATTAGTTTGTTTCCCAGTTTATAAACGCTCCCGACTGTTTTTTAGCTGGAGCTCACCTTGTTGATGATGCCTCCGCTCTCCACCACTCCCTCCGCACCAACAATAACCAGATCCACCTTCTCCAGAACAGACCTTTTGACAAAAAAAAACAACAATTTTTAAGTCAGAGTTCCTGCAGTTCATTTAACGGCCGTAAACTGGCGCCGGCTGCTTTTACCCCACAGCGGCGTCCAGCACCACGGTGACCGGCACGTTGAGTTTCCTCAGGGCGTCCGCCATCTGTCGTCTGAGCAAACAAAGGCAAAGCCAGTGAGCCGGTCAGCTCTGGGGGTCAGAGCGTGGTCAGAGAGTGGCCGGGCGCCTCCCACTCACCCCGCGGCGTCGGGCTGCGACTCGGTCACGTAGACGGAGAAACGCTTCTTCTCCGCGGCGGCTCTCTCCAGGACGCGGAGCACCACCCGGGAGGAGGAGTGGGTCAGGATTTTCTGGGAGGATTCGTGGGAGAGGTGAGCGTCTGCGCGGCGGGAGGCGGAGGGCCGGCGGGGAGCCCACTCACCGCGCCGTCTTTGATGAAGGTGTGGCACAGCTTGGCCACCTTGTTTCTGGACATGGAGATCTTCTCCAGAAAGAGTTCCCCCCTCTCCTCCATCACCTTCTTACAGCGAGACAGATCCTGAAGGGAGAGAGCGGCTGAGACTGAGGCAGCAAAGGGAGATTTACAGAGCCTGCTCTTTGCTGATTCTGAGAAAAAAGCTCAAACGTTTGAATTATTTGATGTATTTGGTTTTGTATGCATGTTCGAATCCAAACTTTTAAGAAAGCCGACCGGAAACTAAATACCAGACGTGAGCTTCTTCACAGACCCATCACAGCCGGAGCCCGGAGGGGAGGAATAAGGGGGGAGTGGGGGTGCAGCCTCACCCACCTGGTGCTCCAGAGAAGTGAGGCTAATGAATCGGAGGAAGAGCTCTCCTCCAGAGGAGACGGCCACCGAGGAGTCCTCCCCTTTCAGGCAGTCTGTGGCCCAGGTCAGGTTCTCCCTCAGACCCAGGAGGGTCTCACCTGCAGGGGCGGGTTGGTGTGAGACTGGGTTGAAGTTTTTGCACTGATAAAAGTTTTTTTTTACATATATAAATAAAAGCTAAAGACTTAATGCCTAATTTTGTTTTTTAAAATTACATTTTGTTTTCTCGTAGCTTCAGGTTTACAGGACCATAGAGCACATTGGACCTGATCAAGACTATTTACTTCCACATATCCGAACTGATCCTAACTTTCCCACCGTTTAAAACCATATACATTAAAGAGCCCTAAAAAGACAAATGTACAACTCCCTCCACCATTTGTGCTGCCCTGCAAAGATAATACAATACAATGAAAAAGTTTTCATCCACCTCCAACTTCCATATACACAAAAAATGGAAACAGATAGCTGGAAAAATAATTTTGCGAGTTTGTTTGAATGAATGGTTTCATGTTTTAAAGGGAATGTTTGGTCTATGCTGCTTTATTCTCCAGCATGGCATTTTTCAGACATTAACAAAAGAAATTGGAACAAATGATGCCTCTTTGTGACAGACTGCTGTAACAAAGAGCCTAAAGGTCCCATTTAAAAAGGTCAATCCCTGAAGTTAGGGGCCTTTATCTGATTTAATGATCTAAAGTTAACTCATAGAAAGCCCATGGGTCACAATCGTGTAAAAGGATTCAAATAAAGTCTAATTGTTGGAAATAAATTAGTGAATAAATGAAGGGTGGCTGGGACCTAGCTGGGTACGGTTTGTAACAAGTGAAATGAATATTTTAAATACACAGTAAGACAAACCTTTGTCTCTCTTGAGGAACTCCAGCAGCGTGCGAATAGCGGCCACAGCAGAAGCCATGTCCGGATCTTTCCTCATCTGAGCCCTGAAGTACTCCACCAGCTCTGAGAGGGTCAGTTCAGTCAGCATAACAAAACACAACAGGGCAGTGACGGGGTGGGGACGACAACTTACCCTCTTCGGTCATCTCTAAAACCTAGCGAGCGCCCAAAATCCTCAAAATTAAAGCAAAAAACAAAGCCGAGGATGTTTAACAGGATTCAGTTCGCAGGATTTTGGCACGTCAAAAAAAGAAATTCACAGGGATAAATGAGCTCAAATGTATCTAAAGTCTCCCAGAATGCTGTCGAATTGAATAAAAAAATATTTTAATTTAAGTCTGAGAAGTTGTGTCGGTAGTATTTGCCAAGTAACAGAGCACCAGCTCCGCCTGAGAGCTGCGTGTTGATGCGTCGCAGAGTGATGACGTCGAGCTGTCAAATGACGTGTTTAGTTCTTTTATTCAACTCAACATACAGAACTACTTTTTAAATTCAAAGGGGTTTTTCCTCTTTATTCGCCATTAGAAGGCAAAACATGCAAGACAAGATACAAAAGTTACCAAAAACAAAACACAGAAACTTATAACAAAAACAGGTAAAAATAACCTGACAAAAAAGTAATAAGATACTAAAGTAAAGACCATTTAAATTACAAAGGACAGCATTTAATAACACTACGAATTCAAAAATACATGTACAAGCACAGAAATAAACTCAAATTAACATAAAAAGTTTACACATGGACAAACTGACAAATATTTTGCCAAAAAAAAAGTTTAACAAAGAAGCTAAAACTTACTGATATGTGCAAGACAGCGAGAAAGACTAAGAACAACGAGATAAAGAATTAAAAATGGACACAAAAAAGAAAATAAAAAAGACCTAAACTGAATACACAAAAATACAGATTAACTATGAAGGGGCCTAAATAAAAGAGTTGTGAAATTACTGGAATGGTTGTTAAGTTTGTGTTCTCCAAGTTTTTGTGGTACAGTAAAAGTGTGTGTACCTGTGCCAACATGTACAAAAAAACATACAAATGATCAAATCCACGTTTTTTTTAAATTGTTTTCATGTAAACTGCTCTATTAAAGTTCTGCACATTCTGAACAGAAACTAGTTGGAGATGACTGCTGGCTGGGACGCTGTGTACTGAGCCTCCAGCTCGGAGTTTTCGGCTTCACTGGAGGGCAGAGAGCAGGCGGTTAGCTGCTCCTTTGTTCTGCCTCTCGCTCAGCGGGGAGACGGATCTGTGCCCGGTGCAGCTGCAGCCGGCCTCCGGGTCCTCCTCCTCCTCCACCTCCTCCTTGTGCTGTGCTTCGCCAGGCCGCGCATGCGCACTGGCTCTTCTGTGCGCTCTACTGTTTGCATTGTGTCTGAACTGCCGGCGAGCTTTAAAAATATTATACCCACCGCGGCAATGTCGGGCAGGTCGGTCCGAGCTGAGACCCGGAGCAGGGCGAAAGATGACATCAAGCGGGTCATGGCCGCTATTGAGAAAGTACGAAAATGGTAAGAAAAGGAGGGAAAAAAAGCAGGCTTCGTTATCTAAGACGAGAAAGGCTCGCTTGTTGGGGGAGGAGAGGGAAGGAGCGAGACGGAATGAGGGATGAAATTAAAAGAAAAAAGGACCGTTTTCGAGTCGGATTCACGGCAGATGTACTTGCAGTTCAGGTGCAACCGGGGCGCACTCGTGCGGTTCGCAGCCCAAACCGTCGCCCGGCAGCCCGTTACCGTCCCCGCACCACCACGGAGCCGGTGTTTTTCCGTTGGTTTTTTAACGGCAAAGGGTTGAACCCAGAAGCCATTTCGATGCAGTCACATGAAGCCATTGCTGCTCGCTGTCGAGCTGGTGAGCGCGCGCGGCGGTTTTAGGAAGCAAACCGCCGATAAGTTCGGACGTTGGAACAATTCGACGACGGCGCTCTCGAGTCGGAGCAGTTTTTAGTCCGTCTGGAGTTTTAAATTAAGCGCTTTGAGTCGCCCTTTAGGTCTGATAGACACGGAGGCACGGTGGGGGTTGGGAGAGGGAAGTAGGCTACCGTAGAGCTCGGCTGAACACGTAGAGGCTCCGTGTTGTCCTTAAACGCTAGAAAAACCCGTTTTACACACGTTTAACGGCTCAAACGGTCGCGTGCGTTCATAGAGTATTGAATCGGTGCATTAAAACGTTTAACCCCGCCTTTTCACACCGTTTATCGGGTTCTATTTCTCCCGTCAGGTGCGTTAATCAAACGTCCCCAGGTCAAAGTCAGAAGTTTATTTTAATGTAAATTCACATTATCCAACAATTAAGTGCACAAACTGAAATATGATCTTTATCAAAGTCATGAAATGTTTGAGTACATTTTTTTAAGCTTTGACCAAGTTCAATATTCTGACCTTTTTAAAATATTTTGAAAGTTAAAAAAGTTAAGTTGGCTCAAGTAAACTTTTAGTCCTAATTTTTAAAAACCAGTGAAAAGTTAATAGTTAAGGCAACAATAGCTTTATGGGTTTTGCGCCATTTCTTTTAATTTGATTGCCTAAATTTACACATTTTCAATATTAAAATAAGTTTATTGATTTGGAAAATGAAGACAAAACCACGTTATTACTGTTCCAAAAACATTTTCATATAACAAACTAAATTAACAAAGTAGGATTTTTCAACTTTTGCATACTTTAATGTTTTCGTCCCACTTTTAAATGATAAAAAAAATCAATTGATCAAGTCATCTGTATTCATATATTTTTTCTTGATGTATAATTTTTATGCAAATCAGTCAATTAAGTAGTTAATTTTCTCGCTTCTGAATGCCTAAATGATCATGTTATGAGAGAAATTAGAGATTCAAATATAAGTATAATTCATTTATTCATATTATATCTCAATTTTATGCAATTTGGTGGACTTTATTAAAATTGCACCACTTTTGATGTTTTTTTTGGAAGTGATTCAGAGACAAAGTGGCTGTTCATCATAGCTTCATTACTTAATCAGCTGACATTACATTTCAGAGAATTCAGAGAAATAATGATTGTTTGGAACAAAATCAAAGCGACGTCTGATCAGCTCAGTGGGTTCAAATATTTAACAGCTGAACTTGAATGTGTGTGGTTTTTCCCGGCCGCTCAGGGAGAAGAAGTGGGTGACTGTTGGAGACACGTCCCTCCGCATCTACAAGTGGGTGCCGGTGACGGAGCCCAAGTCAGATGACGTGAGTCTGCGGTGGAGACGTTCACACACACACACACACACACACAAACGCTGGTCTGAAACACGCCGCGTTTCCTCCCCAAACCGAGCTGCGCTTTGTTGTGTTTGCAGAAAAACAAAAACAAGAAGAAGGGCAAAGATGAGAAGTACGGCTCTGAGCTGACGACCCCGGAGAACAGCTCCTCCCCCGGGATGATGGACATGCACGGTGGGTGTTTTCCCTCCTTTGGTCACAGAAAAACACAGCTCGGTGTGCCTTTTTGTTTCTGAAAACCTTTTTATTACAAGCCTGGTTTCATATTTTAATCCATATTTACGGGACTAATTTCACAGGCGGATGAATCCGCAGTTCGTGCTGCAGTTAGTTAAAAATCAGCCTCTGTAGTTGATAACTGTTTTAAAAAATAGAACTCATTCATATTGGTCATTATGACATTTAAAGTATTGCTACTCATTTTATAGACATTATACTTTAATAATATATGCTAATAATATTATAATATACTTTAGCTGTTTCACATTTAAACACTCAGGGATGTGAAATGAGTCTTTCCTGAACCTTCAGAGGAGATTTTTAAACTAAAAATCCTCCACCTCTTTACTAATTTCTTTGGATTTCAGTAGAAAAAAATGAAAAAGCCTTTTGGCTCTGAAATAAAAGCGGGACTTGTCTTTTCTAGATGACAACAGCAACCAGAGCTCCATCGCCGACTCGTCTCCGGTGAAACAGGAAAACAGCTGCAGCACAAGCCCCGCCCCCGAGGCCAACGCCACGTCGCACCGCGACAACAGCGAGACCAAAACTGAGCAGAGCCCGGACAGCAAGCGAGGTCAGCCCTCACACTCTCACACACACACACACAGACACACACACACACACTCACACACACACACTCTCACACTCGCTTACACACTCACATACACACACAGACACACACACACTGACGGTGCTCAGTCGAGCAGGTGGAGCTGCACCGACCCCCAGATGGATCCGTCTGCTGTTCGTTTCAGTCGTCAGGATAAAAGCAAACCGCCGACAGGAAGTCAGAGTGACCACTTCCTGTCGGTTATTTCCACAGCGCAGCTGCACCCCCCCAGGGACACACCCCGTCGCCCCAATTTTTTCTCAAAAAACCCCTGTGAGATGAACCCCGGCTCCAAAAGTTGTTCAAACAAACCTCATAAAGGGCCCCAAAACACACTTTAATTATCTAAAGCACCACAGCCTGAGCTGCTCTGTAAAGGTCAACAGATAATGTCAATGAGGCTCTAAAAACCAAAAAAACACTCATTTTCTCTTTTTATTTTTTTACGTGTAGTTTTACAGCTTTGAAGAGCTTCTTCCTGAGATGTTTGGAAAAAAGCAAAATCTTTCATATTAAGTGGAAATCCATCTGTGTGTAAAAAAAATCTTAATTTAGATTATTCAGTAGATTAGCCCGGTTGGCTTCGGCCGGCGGGACGCAGTGGCTCCCGGCGGCCACACGGCGTCCCCGCAGCCCCGCGGGGAGCTCCGGGTGGGGGGGGAGACTTCTGGGGGGGGGGGGGGGGGGTGACCCCCGTTTTTGTTGGGGGGTTTTTTGAGGAAACCCCCCCCCATCGTCAGAGACCTCACAGAGCAGCAAGAGGGACGGCCTGTCGTCAGCAGAGGAGCCCTCAGACAGCAAAGCCACTCAGGTAGGAAACACCCCCCACCCGGGTATACAATAACTCATCCAGATGTTCGTCTGATCCAGCTGTGTGTGTCTGATCCAGATGTTTTGAGCCCGTTCTCTTGTTGTTGCAGGACCTACAGGAGGAGGCCCCGCCCAGCAAGAAGAGCAAACTGGAGTCCTCGTCTCAGGACTTTGAGGAGAGTTAAATATTTGGAGCTGGGTCCCTTCTCTCCTGCCCCCCCCCCCC